GAGCACGGCCCGGCGGCGGAGCTGGTACGGCGGGGACTGAGCGCGAACCCCGACGGGCCGGACCGGGCGGCGACCGGGGGCGGTCGCAGGTTGCACAATTCGCCCGAGGCGGCCAGGAGATTCCTGAGAGGCGAAGTCAGAGCGGCCCGGCCTGCCCCGCCAACCGGGCACCGGGCCCTCGGCAGCCGGTGGTGACCGGTGCCGGCTGGGCAGGGCCCCTCGGGGGGAGCGGGGGGGACGGGGGACCCGGGACCCAAAGCTCCGGAGATGGGGAGGGGGCTGGAAGGGGTGCAGCGACTGCGGAGACCCCGGAGGGGAGTGCGGGGGGGTGGCTAATGCTGTGGAGGTGGGTGCTGGGGACACCTGGGATGGGGGCAGGGGACAGGCCCCGGTGGGGTGAGGGTGGCAGCGGCAGGACGGGGATGCAGCCCCAAAAAAAGGACCTGCGACCCCGGCATAGGGTCCCATGGGTGTCCTCAGTCAGAGCAGCCCCCTTCAAGCACGCACCCATGGGGGTCCCGCACCCGGCAGCTCTGCTCTCGCTCAGACAGGCACGGCCACCGCGAGGTCCCCGGGGGCCAGCGGGGCCATGGTGTGGCAAAGCAGCCACAGGCATGGGGATACCGCAGGCACTGGGTCTCTGCCATGCGCTGCCCCGTCTCCTGCCGGTCCCCTTTGCCTCCCGCTCCCGCTTTTCCCACCTTTGCACCGCACGCCTCCGGGAAGGGGATTTTTTGGGCAGTCGCGCCAGCGCTCAGGTAAAGCCGCAGCTGCGTTTGGCCCAGCGCAGCCGGACTGCAATGGTGCCGCTAGCCACGAAAACCACCCTCCATCCCCTGAAAAAAAAAAACCTCCTTGCTTCTGCACCGGGTGGGTAGCGGCAACAGCATCGCAGCGAGGTCCAGGCCACAGCAGCACCCAGGTCCCTTCCAGGGCACCCCTAGGTGAGCGGACATGTCCCGTGGGCAGCACCGCAGGCCCTCGGACCCCACACTCTGGCCCCAGGAAGGCTGCGCTGTTGTTGTTTTGAAGGCCAAGTCTCTCCCGCTGACACCCTGGAATTAGTTTTTCTTCCAGAGGCCTTAAAAATACCCTGGACTTCTGACACTGGGACTTGGCTTCCGACAGCACTTCCAAGCTGCCAGGCCTAGGGCCAGCCATCAGCGCCGGGGGACAGAGGCCGTCCAGCTCCCGTGCTCCTCCTCAGCACGGAGATGATGGCAGTGCCAGGGAGGAACGTGGCAGTGCCGGGGAGGAACGTGGCGCCTGCCATGGTCGGAGCTGTTAACTTGCCATTTCTACAGCGGAATGGTGCTCAGTGGGGCACAGGCACGGCGCAAACACTGCCTTACCTCGGCCTCGCTCCCGGCAGCCCGTGGCACTTTGGCAAGCGTCCCCACGCAGGACCAGGAGGGTGGGAAAGCTCTTCCCTCGGGACCTCCAGCAGCCATGACCCTACAGAGCCCCATGGCTGAGGATTGGGCTGCAGCGAGGGTCCCCGAGGGGCTCTCCCTGGCTGGGATTTCTCTGGGCATCCCAGGGAGAGCACGTGGCCCCAAAAAACAGCTTCTGGCTGAAGCCTGTGACCCGCTCCCAGCTTTGCCAAGGGGCACTCGTGATATGCTGGCACCATGGGAATTTGGGGTGGGCAGGAGAAGGAGGGGGCTGAGCCGGTGAGGCTGGCGGGGGGCGCAGGGAGAGGTGCTGCTGCCACCCCCCCGAAAAGGCAGGGCAGCTGCCTGCCTTCCCTGGCTGCCCGCACGCCGCACGCACTGTTGTTGCCATCTGACAGCTCTTGGCGAAACGGCCTTTTGTGATTCAGCCGTGTTTATCCCAGCCCGCGGCCCGGCCCAGCGTGGGTTTCCATGGAAAACTTCCATCCAAAACAAGGAGAGAAGGAGCTACAGCAGGAGTGACTCAGCCACAACTGGAAGCTTCTGCGGGTGAAGCAGGGAGGAGGGGGGGGGGCTGTTCCCAATGGCTTGGTCCTGCTCTGGCAGCGGGGCCCGGGGATGGCCCCCGGCTCTCCCCTGCCCGTGCCGCTGCCTCCTCGCAGGCAGGAGCCGGGCAGGCTTGGGGGGGGGGAGCTGCGTTGCATAACCATCTGTGAAACACGTCACCTTCCCAGAGCACCCCCTCCCCAGCTGCCTGCGTTAGGCCCCGCTCGTGGGAACAGGGGAGGAAGAGCGTGAGATGAGTAAGGCTCAAACCCCAGCAAGATCCGCACCCGATGCCAGGCTCGGCGGGACGTCGCTTTTTTCCAGCGCTGCCCACGGGAGCCCCTGCCCGTGCTGGGCGAGCCCCGTGTGGGCGGCTGGCACAGTGGGCAGCGGAGGAGGCCCTGAGTCAGCAACGGCGCAGGGGGAAGGGACGCGGGGAGCTGGGGAGAAGGCGGTGGGTGTTCGCAGGGAGGCAGCAGCACTGGCAACATCTCTGTTTGTGCTGGTCTTCTCCTGTCCTCCCTGGGACGCTGGGAGAGGGCTGGGGGCTCTGCTCACCCAGGGGTGGCAGAGCAAAGCCGTGCCCCGCTGAGCCCCAGACCCCGTGCCCAGGACAGGCTCCTAGCGAGCACAGCCCTGGGCATGGCCCTACCTGCCCCTGGGGCTGGCATTGGGACCATGCAGTGGGGCTCTGATGGCTGCGCTAGGGATGGGAAGGGCCCCATTTGGGGAGTAGAGGGGTGACAGCCACCCCTGCCAAAACACCCATGCTCCCAGTGCCGCTAGGTAACACCGGTGGCCGTTCCCAGGGCTTCGGTCCCCCAGGCCAGCGGCACGGCTGTCCCCCGGAGCCTGGGCTCACTCCATCACCCCCTCAGCAGTGCCCCTCGCTCAGGGACAGCAACCACCACATGCTGTTTTGGGGGAAAACCCAACTCCTCTGGGCCACGTGGGGCAGGGGAAGAAGAAACCCCCCGACGAGGGCAGCTGCACCCTAAGAACAACAGCATGGGAACTGGATCTGCGAGAGGCGGGCAGGGGCTGGCACGAAGGTGTGTTGCCAGTGGAAAAGCAGGTGGAGGGCAGGATTCCCGGGGCAAACCCCTCTGTCCGGCAGGGACACGCAGTGATGCCCATGGGAGCTGCTTCCCTCCTCCCTTCGCAGCAGGGGCCGAGACATCCTTCCTCTGCTGCTCACACAGGCACCTCCCGGGGACGAGGGTCGCGTTTGTTTTTATTAATTTGTTTAAACTGGTGCAGGAGTCACCTGGCAAGAGCCATCTTTTTAAACTCCCTGGGAAGAGGAGGCAGGTACCGTAGCATCCCAGCTCAGGTCACCCATCCCTCAACAACCCTCCAGAACCCACCTGACAGAGCTTCCTGCAGAGCCGGGACTGTTCTGCATGCTCACCGCACGCCCTGTGCTCCTTTCCCCTTCACAATGCCAGCGAGCTGCGGCGGTGCCTCCCCCCCGGGAGCAGGGAGATGCCGGTCGGCGGCTGCGGGACCGCAGTGCAGGCTGGTGACCGGGCAACGTTGATCCGCAGCGGCCGCGGTGAACGGACATGGCTGCAGCGTCTCCTCCGCGTCATCCTGTGGAGCCGATGGGGTGGGGGGGTGAGATGCCGTGCTGGAAGACCACCGCGGCGAGCTGTAGCTCCGTGATCATTAAACAGCTAACGGCGAGCTGGCGAAGCGCTGTCTGCTGCCATCCTTCTCCGGTGGCCGAGGACTCAGGTGGGGGGAGCAGCGGAGACAAAGGCCCTGGTGCTTTGTCACAGCTGGCCACCGCAGCCAGGTGCGCAGCCCCAAGTCCCCCCCCCCCACCCCGTCAAAACAGCCTTTGGTGTCCCCGAGGTGGTGACCGTGGGGTGACAGACACCCCAAACCTTTGCATCACCTGAGCAGGCAGCATGGAAGCAACGCAGCCTGCCTGATGCTGCTCCGCGAGGTGGCAAAGCGGGCAGGCACTGCCCGAGCCCCGCCAGCCCCCCAGGAGCAACACCAGCCCAGGGCTGGGCTGCGGGGGGAACCAGCCTCATCCTCCTACCACCGCCGCTGTCACGTAACTGGCAACAAACCAGAGGGCAAAAAACTCACAGCTGTGGGAAACGCTCGCTTCTGCTGCATTGGTTTTAACCCGCAGCAGCTCCCAGGACTGTTCCCGGCTGAGCAAACAGGGAAAGTGCTTCTGTCCCCTGACCCTGGGACTGCTCCTGCACCACAGCGTCTTCCATCCCTCACAGCACCGACACCGCGCTGCCCCGCTGCTCCCGAAATCCCCACGCTGCGCAAGCAGGGAGCAAATTAAAAAGTTTCATCCAATTTCTCTTTTACCAAATATATTGCCCTGTACCCCCAAGGAAAGCCAGGGTTAGAGAGAAATCCTGCGAGCACGGCCCTGGGCTGCAGACTGGAAAGCCTGGCCTGCCCCAGCAGCAGTCAAACAGGGTGCCTGCAATTATAACAATAAAGATTTCTGTGTGCTTCTGGAAAATATCAGAGCCAAGAACGTAGCGACAAGTTTTTCTTGTTCACGAAGGCACTTTGTACAGAGGAAGATACAAAAGTCTCCCAACACACGCACGCTGAACCAGCAGACATTTTGTTCCTGAAATGAAGACCAGCCCTGGCACTGCCAGGGATGAGAGGTTTTTCTAGACCCAGACCAGCTAGATGCTTGGCTTAATAGCTTTCACCAGGGATATTAACAAACACAAACCTTTGGGGTTTAACAGCTGCAGGAGCTGTGTGCTCTACAGATGTTTCCTTTGGCTGAGCTGAGGGACCCCAATTTTGAACAGCTATTCAAGGCTCTGAAAGCACCTCACACACAGGGCAGCCTCACCCTCCTGTCCTCAAAGCCCTCATCGTCATACCCACATACTCATGTGTACAACAAAGTTGGGAAAAAAACAAAGGGAGGTAACAAAGAACCATTTAACCTGGCCCTATGTTAATGCTGCAGAGCAGCACAGTGAGCTGAGGAGGATTCTTTGGCCCTTCTGGAGGGCACGGAAACGCAGTGATGTTTCACCAAGATGGCAGGCTGCACGTGGCTCACTGGAGCCCCATTTATTACAGAGATTGTTATCAAACCGCCCCAGCTCCCGGGGGCTCAGCCTATCCCTGTCCGGGGCGGAAGCGGTCCAAGAAGTCCAGGTAGGCCTTCTTCTGTGGTGCAGCCACAGGGATGAAATGCCCGCCAGGGTGGGTGAGGACAACAGGCTCCACGAAGTGCCGGGCCAGCTCCCTGCTCAGGGTGGCAGCGATGACGGTGTCGGCATCACCCACGACGTGCAGCGTAGGCAGGGCAATGGGCTCTCGGTAGAACTGGCCGTGGGCCGGGGCGCGGCTGGCGAAGCCGGCCACCAGGATGGCGAAGGCCACGGGGAAACGGGGGTCACCGCGGGCCCTCAGGGCGCACACCATGGCGGCCAGCGCCGCGCCCTGGCTGAAGCCCAGCAGCCCGTCAAAGGGTCCGTGCTCCACCAGCGCCGCCGCCACGGCCGACAACGACTCTTCCAGCCCCGCCGGCGCCGCCGCCACCTCCCCCGCCTCAAAAGTGCCGGGCCCAGAGAACCACCAGCCGCGGGGGGGGTCGTCCTCGTCGCCGTCCTCGCCGCCGCCGGGAACGGGGTGCGGTGCGCTGACCGCCACCAGCTCTGCCCGGCCACGCAGAGCCTTGCGCAGCGCGCCGGTGCGCTGCCGGAAGCGACGCTCGCTCTGCCGGTAGCCGTGCAGACCCAGCAACCGCAACGGCCGCCCCCCCGACATGGCGGCCGCCGCCACCGGAAGCCGAGAGCGCCGCTTCCGTCTGTCGTCCCTCCCCCCCCCCCCCCCTCACATCTTCCCGCCGAAACTCGTGGCGCTCATTGGACGCCGAGGCGAGCGGGCCGGCGCTCCTCTGCGTTGGGGCGCCACCGCGCCCCCTGGCGGCGGGAGGCCGCAGCGTATGGGGAGAGAGACCGGCGGCGGGACGAGGCGGTCCCGGTGGGACGGGACGGGACGGGACGGGACGGGACGGGACGGCCCGGTGCGACCGGGGGCTGCTGCGGGCAGAGCCTGCAGCACGGCCTGGCTTTGCAGGGACCCACTGCCCGCGGGCAGCCGCGTCGGTCCTTGCGGGCAGCGGTGTCGTCGAGGTACGGGGTGCGTCCCCATCCATTCCGGTGCTGGTACCGGGAGGCCCCGGCGGTGCTTACCCTCGGTGTTGGGGGGTGTGGGGGGGTGGGTGTGTGTCCCCCGCCGGGTCCCGGAGCGTGGCGGCAGCAGGACGGGGTGCAGGCTGCGCTCATGAGGCTGCTGGGTCCCCGGTGCTTAGCTTCTCCTCGCCCTCCACCGGCGTGGGGGGGGTCACGGGTGGCTTCCCCTGCCGCAGAGAGGGGGGGGTATGTCAGGATGGGACCCCAGCCCCTGCCTGACCTGTGATGAGCCTGCCCGTGCCCAGCCCACAGCATCCCATGGGGCACAGCTGGGGGAATCCCCCCCTCCCAGGGAGCCGCGGGGCCAGCCAGGCGCTTGCCCCAGTAAGGGCTGTGGGGTGCAGGGGAGGGGGGCTCACCAGCCGGGCTGGCACCGGCCCCGTTACTGTTCACCGGGAACGAAGCCACAGGGTGGCGCTTTCGGCACGTGGCACCGGGCACCGTACGGCACCGTACACACACCGTACTGGCACAGGGCGTTCAGCCCGCGCCAACGCTCCCACCGCCCATCCCTTCCACCCCGCACGGTTACCGAGATCGAAGGGATGGAGCGGGGACCCCCCGTCCCGGTGACATCCCGTGCCCGGGTGACATCACGCTGCCCACCTGGGCTGTCCGGCCGTGGCGCGGGAGCTGTGTGCCGGCGTGGTTCACTGTCCATGGCCCCAGGGACTGGCTGGCGTAGAAATCCATGGGGTAAGGCTGCTGCCACTCGACGTCCTGGAGAGCCACCGCGGCCTGCGGAGGGGACAAGGAGCTGAATCCCCAAGCGGTGCCTGCGGCGGGGGAGCCGGCGGTGCTGGGAGAAGTCCCAGTGTGGCGGCTTGGTGTGCCGAGCAGGGCACTGCCAGAGCGAAGCTCACAGCACCGGGAATCCCGCTGGTTTCACAAAAGATCGGAAATCCCAGCGGCACACCCAGGGCCGTGCATGGAGCACAGCCGGGGAGAGGAGGGGACGCTGCCCTGCTGCAGGGACAGCCCTGTCCTGGCAGCTCGCAGCACCGCAGCTCTGTGGGAGGCTCTGGCGCATCACCCCAAGCCAGGGTTGGTCCCCCCAAAATGGGAGAGGGGTGCCTACCTCGTAGGGTGTCAGCAGCGGCTTGCTGAAGGCTTCTCCCCAGTCGATGGAGAGCCGGGGACAGGCTACCTGCACCCACCTGGAAGGGAAACAGGCGGCAACAGATGGGGACAAGCATTTTGGGAAGAATAAACCACAACAAAGCCTTGCAGCAACCCCCTGGAAGGAAACGGAGCGGGCAGGGAGCAAGGTCCCTACTGTGCCAGAGCCAACCTGCCAGGAACAACCACGTCCCCTCCCCGTGCCATGGCCACAGCACACGCAGGGGTGCATAGTATCCACCCAGGTGACAGTGGGACAGATGTGGCAGGGATGGCTTCCAGCAGGAATCAGAGGGCCCAGACAGGGATGGGGCACCCTGGGGACCCTGGCGCAGGGGGCTGGTGTGGGGGTCAGCAGCACTCACGCGTCCACATCAGGGAAGAGGCGCAGCTTGCTGGGGAAGATCTCGGACAGCAGCACCCGCACAAAGGGCCGGCCCAGGGCGCGGAGACGCGACTCCAGGTGCTGCGGGGGGAAAAGGCACCCGGGGGGGGGTTAGGGGAGCCCAGACAGATGCCCGCAGCAAGCCCCCCAAGCCCTGCTCATAGACCTTTCCTAGCCATCAGACCCTCTGTGGGTCCCAGCTCTGCCCCATGGCCACATCGCATGGCCAGGCGCAGTGACAGGGACTGCAGCCACGGCTCCGGCTTGTGCCCAGCTCTCCCCAGCGTGTGCCTCAGTCTAATGAAGTAATTACCGCTCAATGACAACAATCTGTTCTCGTTAGCGGCTGCCTTCCCTGGGACGCCTGCCTGCCCGTGAGCTGGCTGCGGCCAGAGGCTGCAGGAGAAGGAGAGGGGCCCAGGAGGGGCCAGGGACGTCCTTGTCCTCCGGAGCTGGCACTAATCAGCCCCTGCCCAGCCAGCCCCAGCCATGCCTGTGTCCTGCCCACTGCGGAACAGTGGCTGCTGGGACCTCACCGCCCTACTCTGCCTACTGGTCCCTGCATTGCCCCAAATCTCACCTTTGACTCCCGAAAAATTGCCAGGTGTGAGCGGGGCTGCCGTGCTCAGGGCACCCCACTCCCATGGGGCAGGACACTGTGGTCCTGCTCCCCTCACCCAGCCGGTGTGCAGACAATGCCAGTGCAGTGGCTGAGCAGGGATGCTGAACCTGATCAGAAGTTCATCCAATTAAAACAAACCCAGGGAATTAATTGCTGAGCTGCCTGTGCGGGGGGGTCTCCAAGGCTGGCCAGCTCTCCCCAGCAAGGGGCACGTTTAATGAGACCTTGTCCAGGCTCCCTCATCCACTGCTAATTGCCCTGCCCGCTCAGCTCGGGGCCACACAGACCCAGGCCAGAGGCAACTGATGGGCTGCCAGTGGTGCCCGGTCCACCCTCACCCCGGCAGCGAGGCCACTGCACTGATGCTGCCATCGCTCACCGGTCCTTCACCTATCCAGGAGCAGCACCCAGTGCCCAGGTGGGGGCCATGAGGAGGGGGACAGTACCTGCAGGATGCCGGGGGAGCCCTGGCGCCCCAACGTGCCCAAGATAAGCCCCCAGCAGTGGGCGCTGGCAGCGGTGCGGATGGCATCCTGCCGAGCACGGTGCATGTGCTCGTGGCCGTAGTGCTCCTGGGAGAAGACCTTGCTGTAGGGATCGTACCTGCAAAGCAGAACCGAGCTCACATGTGCCCCATCACCTGCCTGTGCCCCATCACCTGCCCCCCTCCATGCTGGCTCCAAATGATGCCTGTCCCTCACCAACACTAATTGCCTCCCACAGCCGATGCAGGGCCCAGCCGGCTCGTTAAGAGTGCAGAGAGGGGACAAGGACAGGGACAAGGCGAGTGTCCCATCGCAGCCCCCCAACACCTGGCACAGCCTGGGCTCCGCACTCAGCTTCATGCTCAGCTCCCCCCTGTCCCAGCTCATCAATTATGAAGAAATCTTTGATTTGTTGCTTTGTTTGACGAGGAGAATTTTAATCAAATCCCACTCGGGTTTCGGCAGCTTCACCAGCGCCATAAACCTGACGTGCGCCTCCCGTTAGTAACAAACGACCTACTAAGAAATTCAGATTTCACCAAATGGGCCCAGCCTTTCACTCTTGATATTTCATCTGCTTTCAGCGGCCTCATCATCGCGCTTTATGGCCTCTGCCTGCAGCAGCCGGGCTTTAATGGCTGCACCTCCATGAGCTTTCACAGGTACTTGTCAAAATGTTTATATTCAGCCGGAGTAAATGGCTGGCGTTCATCTCCCCGCTGCACCTCTTCACCCGCCCTGTGGCCCCTTCCCTGCCTGTGCCCGCTGCAGGCAGCTGCCTGCCCAGCCCTGGGCTGGGGGATGCTCCTGGGGTACACGGGGGGGACAGCTGGTTCCCAGTGTGCTGGGGGAGCTGGGGTGCTCCCTGCCACAGGGCTGATGGGGACCGGAGCAGGTGCCCGTGGGCTGCCCGTACCTGTAGGCAGGTATCCCTGGGTTGGCAATCATGATGGACTCCAGGTGGAAGCGCCCGTCACCCAAATACCTGCCGAGAGAGGAGGGAGGGCTACGGCACACGGCAAACAGCAGCACCCATCTATGTGCCTGCTGGTTTCCCAAGCCACGCTGTGCAGAGATGCTGGGAACCCAAGGGCAGCAGGCACAGCCAGGTCTTCCCATCTCTGTGCAGCCCCCCGGTATGCTGGGGTGGGAGAGGAAGGGCACGCTCGGGGCGAGGAGGGATGCCCACGCCAGCATGGGGTGGCCGGGAGCTGCTCCATCTCAATGGCTGGTTCTAGACGTTGCTGCTTCCATTTCTAATCGGATTTCAAGTCAGCAATTACATTTCAAAGCCTTTCATTCAGCTGCCCTAATGGAGTGAGGGCTTGGAAAATGAATTCAGACGTAAAACTTGACTAGATTTTGCCCTTAATTGGAGAATGACATTTTGGGAGATCAAAGCTAATTTGTCTGCAAAAGTTAGCCCCAGAGACGAGGGAAAGAAGAAAATAATAACACAGGGAGGGCGCAGGTACGCCAGCTGCGTGCACCTGCACGGTCGGCCAGTCGGTACCGCACTGTGGCTCCTCCGGTGGCGGGAATGACCCACTCTCGCCAGTGCGGTGCCAGCCTGGCCGCCCCTGCCTGCTCCCAATGCCTTTGGGGAGAGATGGAAAGCAGCGCCTCTCCCCCAGTGCCGGGTGCCACTCAGGATGAAGCCAGAGCCCCCACTGACCCCATGCCTGGCAATCATGAGCCTGGCTCCCCACGCAGCCACGCTTGGAAAGGTGCCGGCACTGTTGGCTCCCAGCAGGGTGAGAGAGATGGGGCTTGATGGGCCCAAACCCACACCTGGGCTCCCCAGCTCCCCCCAAGGGTGGGGTCCTTGTATTTATTTATTCTGCAGCGCACTGCATTCACAGTGCATTAAGCATTTCCATTACCTAAAATAATTAGGTGATAGGAAGCGAAGTGCTCCCTCTAATTTGCTGTCCTTAAATAAAATTAATGTTGCTGTGATG